CAACAGCCACAGAACAAGCCAAGATGCTGGTGAAAACGGGGGCCATCAGTGCTATCAAAGTTGAGAACAAGAACTCGGGATTCAAACGCTCTTGGACTCGGAAGGTGAAACCGAAAGTAAGCCGGGTTAATGCAAGGAGGTGCAGAAGAAAGATTCTATTGCTGGAGTGTCCAAACTTGGCAACTTTAAGACCTGTGGACTTCCATTCCCAGAATTCCCTAGCCAGGAGGACTGGCTGGGGAATTCTGGGAATTGAAGTCCACAGTTCTTAAAGTTGTCAAGGTTGGACAGCCCTGGTCTAGTGGGTTGGGGTTGCTTTTAGCTTGCTTTTAATGCCTGTTTGTCTTTTAGGAGACCAAGAAGGGATCTGCCCCAACTTACCAGCCCTTTCAGCGCAGTGTCTCAGCAGATGATGATTCCCGAGAGGTAACTAAGATACAATTCCCCAATCAGGGTGGGAAATTGGTTAGGTCAATGCTTGCGTGGTTCTCCTTCAGTGGTTCAAAATATACGTTCAATAGTACAGAATATCCGTTCAGCCACTCATGTTCTGGTCATCTCCCGTTTGGACTACTGCAATGTGCTCTACATGGGGCTACTCTTGAAAAGTATCCGGAAGCTTCATCTGGTTCAGAGTTCGGCCACATGAGTTATACTGGGTGCTCAAAGAAAGGCACATGTAACATCTCTGCTCCGCAAAGTGCATTGGGTGCCAGTTTGCTTCTGTGTCCAATTGAAGATGTTAGTTATATCTATAAAGCCCTACATGGCCAGGTTACTTTTGAAACTGGCTTCGACCCATCAGGCAGGGAAGATACGTTGTTCCCTTTGCCAATGTCAACCATTTTTTACAAGGTTAATTATTCTTGCCTCCTTAGGAAAAAAAATAGAATTTTAAACATTTTTAACTGAACATTTTAATATATATATATATATAAACACACACACACACGAAATGTGAAATATAAATAAAGATTAGCAGATGTGGCATATAGAATATAAAGTACCAAATGTGACCCTTTGATGGATCTCTGCCATCTTTCATAGCAATAGCACTTAGACTTATATACCGCTTCAGGGTGCTTTACAGCCCTCTCTAAGCGGTTGGAACAGAGTCAGCATATTGCCCCCAACAATCTGGCCCCTCATTTTACCCACCTCAGAAGGATGGAAGAGTGAGTCAACCTTGAGCCCAGACAGGATCAAACTCCTGGCAGTGGGCAGTGAGTTAGCCTGCAATACTGCATTCTAACCACCGTGCCGCCAGGGCTCATGAAGAACTAATAACGTTGGTTTACCTTGTGAGGGATCTGTGAGAGCTTTTAGTCATTTCACCAGTTCTTTATCCTGGAATAGACTAGTAGGGTGGTAATAGCGTGAAATGCATTGTGGGAAGCAACCAGAAGTCAAAACATTTCCAAGAACGTTGCACTATCCTTTTATAGGATGAGATGAATGCTGAGAAAACACTCTTCAGTTTTCAGCTAGCCATAATTCCTCCATCCCCTCCTCATGTTTAGATCGCATGGTGACTTTTCTCACAGCCCAAAGCTATTCGGATTTTTTAAATTAGATTTACATCCGGCTTTGCTTTAAACCAGGGGTCTCCAACCTTTCTGGGTTGGCGACCTGGTGGGAAAAAGGGGCAGGTGCCTTACATGCGCAAACGCGAATGTGGCCACACGTGCGCGCATGCGCACAAGCAGGCTGCAAGCATGTGCACCATGCAAACAGGTGTGCGAGCATGCACGCGAGGCTCTCGGCAACACCGGTATCTGTGTGAGGTTTATGGTGCTGCCAGGCTTGCAGCGATGCTACCACCAGCACGATGAGCATGCCGCCACCCCTGCATGAGGTTCGTGCTGTGGCCTGCTTGTGGCACTGCTGCCATCCACACAAGGTTCATGACATCACCCCTGCGCGATACTAGCGGCGATGCCGCCACCCACACAGCCTTTGCAGCAATGGCACGAGGGGGAGTGAGCACGCGCATGTGCACGCGTGCACTGCCCAACTATTCATGCGGCCCAGCCGCAGCCCATAGGTTGGGGACCTCTGCTTTAAACAACTCAAAGCAGTGCATCTACAGGTGCAGGTAATCCTCAGCTTACAACACTTCATTTAATGACCGTTTGAAGTTACAACAGCACTGAAAAAGATGACATGACCATTTTTCACACTTATGACTGTTGCCATGGTCACGTAATCAAAATTCACACACCTGGCAACTGGCTCATATTTATGATGGTTGCAGTGTCCCTGGGGGTCATGTGATCACCCTTTGTGACCGTCTGACCAGCAAAGTCAATGGGGAAGCCAGATTCACTTAACAACCGTATTAATAACTGAACAACTGTAGCGATTCACTTGACACCTGTGGCAGGAAAGGCTGTAAAATGGGGTAAAACTGACTTAACAATTGTCTCACTTAGCAACAGAGGTTTTGGGCTCAGTTGTCATAAATTGAGGACTGTCTGTATTCCTCAATTGCAAATCACGATTGGTACCATCATGGTTGGTCAGGTACCAACTCTTTTGCTAAGCACTGTGGTCACTCAGTGAAAAATCACATAACTGCACCAGACTTAACAATGTTAACTTGTAATTTCACACTTAATAAGCCATTTTTTTTAAATATTTCATTTTAGGCCCGGCGCCCCCAAAGGAAGTATCTGTATGAGAGGTTGGTTCCGTTGATGCCATCATTTCTTTATTTTTTATTCTTTTATTTATTAAATAAATTTATATGTCACCCATCTCCCCGTTAAAGCGACTCTTATGGTAACTATCAGGATAATTCCCCCCTCCATTGATTCCAGCTTTGGCGAGCAGAATCTGTTCAGTCACTGGAGAAATCCAACTGATAATGGATTAGGTTGCATTAAATGAAGTATTTTTGCGTTGAGGCACAGCTGTCGCTGTTTAGTGTAACTTTCCCATTTTGTTGGTTTTAGTTGGAACTAAATTGATTGTCAGGTTCCTTGATGTGAAAAAAATAATATGCACCTAGAATTAAGGAATTGGGAGCCTCAGAATTGATTCTGAAAACGAGAATTTGTTATTTTTCCACACACCGACCCGTACTTTTAACACTAATTTTGGAAGAGGAGAATTCTTTTATTGTGGCTCTTTGCGAATAACCAAGATTCAGATTTCATGCAGATCATTCAGGAGTCAACAGTTCAGGCTATTTGCTGGGCTATAGTTCAGATGTGCAAAGTACCATTATGTGTGTAGGTGAAAAACTGCCCTATAATTATTATTTTACAAATGACGGTCCTTGAAAACAGCGGTGTCCAAATTTCCTGGCTCAGCGGGCTGTTGGTGGCGGCATGGGGGAGAGGGGATGGTTGCGCAAGCGTGCCGCTTTCATAAACGCAG